CCCCTTACAGACCCATCTGAGAATGTCCCTAGGACATTAGAAGGTGCACACACTCAGTACACCTAAAATCTTCCAGATTGTTCTGTGGAATGGCCAGGCCATATCTTCTGCCTCTGGCAGGATTCTTGTTCCTCCCTCCCACCCACGTGTGGTATTTTCCCTACCTCTCGGTTTTTACCAGCCTAAAACAATAAGGCAATTCCATGCTGTGGTTTTAAGCATCATTTCTCTGATTACTAATGAGTTTGAGCATCTCTTCCTGAGCTTATGAGCCGCTTAGTAATTGTCAGTGCCACCTGATCCTTTGACCATTTTTGTATTTTGAGGTTCGTGTCTTTTTTGTTGTTGTCGGTGATTTTCAGAAGTTCTTTATAAAATTGAAATATCAATCCCTCGTTGGTTTTTAGCTTTGGAAATAGCTTCTTCTGTTCTGGCACTTGTCTTTATACTCCAAATGTTTGTCGAACAGACACATTTTTAATTTTGATGTAGATAAATCTGCCCCACCGCCTTTGGTCCTGGGGTTTGTGATTTTTGGAGTTTCTTTTTATTTTTTTATTTTTTAAGACAGGGACTCACTATGCAGGTCAGGCTGGGCTTGAGCTCATTTTGTAGCCCAGGCTGGTCTTGAACTTACAAAGATCTTCTTGTAAGTGCTGAGATTACAGGAGTGGACCACCACCCCCAGCTATTTTGGGAATTTCCTAGCATCTCCTACACGCCAGGTATTGACTGGACACAGCAGGTGCTGAGGTGGACAGGATGTAGCCCCTGCCCTCAGGGAGCTTCAGTCTGATGAAGAGCAGACATGAGGCCCAGGAATATATGATTCCTTAAAAAGGGTGCACAGGTGACTGCAGGAAACCAAAGGAAGGACCTGCACTCTACCTGGCAGAATCTAGGAAGGGCGTCTGGAGAGGAAGGGGAAATCTGAGCTGAACTTTGATGGACCAGTGAGAAGTAGCCATGCAGAGGTGAGAAGTGGTACTTCCTATGCGATGGCCTATTACATGTGACCTGGACCTTATTTCATGATGGTTTTCACCTCTGAGAACCAGAAAATTGTGCACATTGAAGGGTCCTCAGTCTAATTCTGACTATTAACCCTGGATACACATTAGGCTCAGTTTTTAAAATACTGCATCCTAGATCCACCCCTCAGTTCTCTGGGATTGTAATGTAATGGGTTGCCATGTTGGGACCCGGGCATCTGTATTTTCCAGAAGTCCTTGGGTAACTCTAAGGTCTCCCAGAGGCTGCCAACCACTGGGAGATCTCCATGCAATTTATAGATGGAGGAACTGAGGCCCACAGAAAGGCAACAGTCAGCCACACATAAGCCAGTGACAACCGGCAGCAGGGCCCATGTGGAGCTAGACAGTGACAACCTGATGCCACAGTCTCTTCCTTTGCTCCAAACCCCAGCATGAGTCTTCTTTCCAAGTGGGCACAGGTTCCATGGCCCACAATCTCTGGTCTTCCTGGCCATCCACATCCAAATAGATGATTCCTACTGTTAGCATGATGTCATTAGTAAGGAGCTGGGAAGTACCAGGTAAATGGAAAAGCAGAGTGAACATCATTCTTCCCTCTGCAGGCCCAAGTGGGGCCCTGGCCAGAGTGTAGGGAACCAGACAGGATGACAGAAGCAAAGCTTTAGGTCTCACTCAGGAGCACTCCTGCAGGAGTCAGAATCCCGGGACACACCCAGCACATAGCTCCAACACGAGGCGCGTAACCCAGGACCCTGAGTCTACAGCAACCAGGGCAAGCAGTGGGGACCGCAGGACTCAGACAAGGCTTCCTGGAAGAGGCAGGTAGGCTTGGGCGTACTGATATAGTAGACAGAGGAGAAAGTTGTGGACGGATGATTATGGGGAGCAGCTAGCAGTAAGAAAGCATGGTGTTTGCGGACACAGCAAATAACTCAGTTACTTTTATCACGAATATAGTAACTGCAGTAGATTGTGTACTTCCTGTTAGGTAAGCTGCAAGCTGGGTGCTTGCCTATCTTCTCCTTATGTAACCCTCAAAGCATCCTGGAAGGTTCCCAACTTCAATTACAGATACACAAGAATAGGAATCAGGACCTATTTTTAAAATCTTTGTGTGACCAGCACAGAACATGGCACAAAACAGGTGACCAATAACATTTGTTGGGCGAGTAACTGAAGGGGACTTTGTATAACAGCCCATTAGCATCCAGGATGTCCAAGGTCCAAGGTATAAAAATAACTTTAATCTTCTGCCACCTACAGCGCTGCTGTGGAGGGATTCTTTATGATATAATACCTTGGGCTCAACCTGGCATGCGGGAAGCCCTCAAGAAATGTGGGCTGAATGATCCGCAGCCCTGCATGCTGAATTCAGAACCAGGAGACCCGAGTCCAGGCACTTGCACAGCACCTGGTTCCCAGCCGTGATGTAACCTATTCAAGACTCCCCTCTCTATGGACTGGTGGATGATACCTGATCGATTCATGTTTTGCCATGAACAGAACTTATGAAGCACCCCAGGGCCTCCAAGCACTGTCCCCAGGGAGAAATTACGATGATTATGGCTGTCGTGGAGTAGGGTTGTTCTGGTAGCATGGAACAGTACATACAGCAGAGCCAGTGAGTCAGAGGGGTGAGCAATGTGGCTGGGACCCAGCGGGGTGCCACTTTCTAGCTCCCAGTGGTTTACTCCCATCAGGCTGCGTATTTCATGTGCACTCACCACACCAAATAAATAAATCAGGGCTATCTCCACTGGGCAGAAGATGAGTGGGGCACCCGCATGGCTGAAGACTTCAAAAGGCCAGAGCAGGATGCTGGCGCCCCCAGCCGTGTATGCTAATGTGACATTTAGGTACTGGGTGGTCTAAGCAAGAGATAGTTGCCTGCACAATGGGAAACCTCCGCAAATGGCAGGGAGCCTGGCAGGAAGAAGGAAGTGATTTTGCAGGCCCCCACCCCCTAGAGTCAGGGGAAGCACGCAGAAGTGACTTGGGGATCCCATGTCCCAGTCCCTGAATGTTATAAGGCATGGACAGCACACCTGCGTTTCTGCAAAGGAACTCACTCCACACCAGAGCCCAGCAAACAGTTTCTCTGGGTGCCCACTTGGAATACTTTTATGAGCTCTGGACAGTTTGCTGGTCAGGTCTGCAGCTCTGGTGACCCACCTGAACTGTGTGTGGGCCCTTGCTTGGACCACACTCTCCAAAGCTGTTGCATTCAGGAGGCACCAATCACATACCTGAGCCAGCAAAACACCTGAGGCTGGGTGCTTTGGAAAGAAAAGAGATTTCTGTAGCTCACAGTTCTAGAGATTGGAGAGCCCAGCAGCAGTGCGTACGCAGCTCTGGTGGGGGCTTCATGCCAGATGGCACCACAGTGAGGGAAGCTCATGGGAAAGTGATGAGCAGTACGTGGAAGAGGGATTCAGAGGAGCTTCCAGAGTCCTTCTGACAACCATTCCCATGGGAACTGACCAAGGTCCCTTTGGGACTACATTAATCCCATCAGAGGATAATGGCCCCAGTGACCTAACCACCTCCACCCTGCCACACTGGGGACCAAGCTTTCAGCACAAGAACCTCTGAGGATACTTTCACACTATATCCAAACCATACAGGGGATCAATGGATGTCTGCTCCTTGACCTTGTCAAGGTCCCCTTACCCTGAGTGTCCACTCTCACTTCTATGGTGCTTGTGCCATGCTACCTCCCTCTTCTGACCCCTTGCATTCCCCAAATCCACTTCCCTATGGTCACCAGTGTCCGCTGTACACAGAATCCACCAGCCCCCCTGGTGGTCATGCCAGTCCCTTGGAAGCACATGTCATTCTGGGAAGTGATCCCACTCCTTGGCTTCTAAGATGCCCGTTTCTCCCAGCACCCTGCTCTTGGCCACTTCTCAGAGCATCTTTGCTCTGTTCATCCTGAGGTCAGTGCTTCCTTGGTGTGCTTAGACCTCTCTTCTGTCTAGGTTTGCTTGCCTTGGAGTCTTGCTTCTGTCCCGTGCTCCAGCTCCAATCTCCTTGAAGATAGTTCCAACCCTCTGTCTCCAGCCTATTCCTCTGCCACGGGCTCCAGACTCAAGACTCATTTCGCCTGCATGATCCAGGCTCAGCACATTCAAAATGGAACTCATCACTTCCCTCCTTGGCCCCCTCCTTGATCCTCATTCATAGTATGGTACCTGAAACCCTGCTACCTCCATGAGAATCTTGGGTGACTTGCTTGTTCCCCATTCATCACACATGTGATCATCGGGCTATCACCTGGTAGAGGGAAACTTTTATCAAGTCTGATCTCTCCTCTTCAGTTCATTCTGCCACCCTGCCAGGCCAGTGCTCATTCTCTTCATCCTTGAAAATGACCAAAACAGTGAACTAAACCCAACAGCATAGTGAGGAAGAGAATGGTATATTTGAAGGTACATTCAGATTTAAAAACACTCTGAATGAATGCAAGGGAGGTGGGAGACTTTTCTTGGTGTGACAATGTGGCTTCAGAAATTGTTTCCAAATAAGAATGCATTCATAGGACTGTGATGCTTAAGGTGCACTACCCCTGGGTATACACTCATCAGAAAAATGGTGGTATTGTGTGGTATAGCGGGAGGGGCCCAGTTAGGGTGGGAGATAAGGTGAGGATGATATGTTTGTGTCTTTAAATTTCTGGAGTTATCCTGAGACAGAGGAGCAGAAGTTGTCCCTGTGGTCCTGAGGGCAGGGGAAAGTTGCGGGTGGGGGAGGACAGTTCGGTCCAGTGTCAGGAGGGTCTGGGTGACAGGCAGAGTCCAGCTTAGGGGGAAAGGTTTTCTTCCTGCCCTTAAAGGAGTGGAAGTTCCAGCCCACATAGGTTGGAGGTTTGGTGCCTCTGCCTGGAAGAGATGTGGCAGGAAGGAAGCCCTCAAGAATGCTCACGGTGTACAGGGGGTAGCACCTCTAAAAGGAGCTCCAGACGCAACCTGGATGCCCTATAACTGGCCACTGTCTCTTGTCCCACAGACAGCAGGGAAGTGAAGGTGGGAGAGTACAATGCTGTGGCCGATACACTGGAAATTATCAACGACACCATCAGGTTCCAAGGTAAGGCAGGCGAGGGCGGGCGATATCACAGAGTCCTTGGCCTTGGGGGTCAAAGGAACGTCCTCAACACATCCACTCACTGAGCCCAGGGTCCAGATCACTCCCTTGGCTTCCAGTTCCTGCAACAGTCTGCTGGAAATTAGAGTGCTCACCAAGGTGTTTAAACCCCAGTTGAACTTATGCCTCCCTTCTGTTTACTTCCACAATCTTTTTCTCTGCCTCTCCTCTAGCCACTCTTGTTTATACTGAAATTACTAAATGACTGGGCCACAAGCCCTTTTATGGATTCCTGGCATCAGAATCTATCACATGTTGGAGGCTCAGTGATATTTGATGAAATGAGCAAATAGATCAAGTGGATGGAAGAGTGAATGGATGCATGGATGGGTAGAGGGAGGGATGGATGGATGGATGGATGGATGGATAGACGGACGGGTGGATTGATGGATGGATGGATAGCCTACTCTAAATGGCAGTAGAAAAAGCTACCACATCCATGACACTTGATAATATTACTTTGATTCCACCAGGAAGCAGGATAAGAGACATCTAGTTTTCTGTGCCTGGAGTTCTTACTTTAATTCAGGCACCAGAGTTGGATGGACTGTTTGGTTGGTCTTTATGTCACTACACACCACTGGATTTATGAGCTTCAGAGCACTGTAGAACTCTGGTCAGTCTCCAGATGACACCTGGTTTTCACCTCTGCTGGGCCTTTCCACCCTACCTGAGGGAGCTGTTAACAACTACACAATTACTTATGACTTTATGGAGCCACAAAAGAAGAGTGTGCAAAAGGTCCCAGTAGTCCTGTTGTACAGCTGAGAAAATGGCTTAGAAGTTATGTCACCCCAGTTCACGCAACCTGTAAGGGGCACAGCCTATTCTAATCTCCAGGTTCTGATCCCCAAGTTAGGCCTGTCTGCTCCTGCACTCAGATTAGGGTTTCCTGAGCAAGAAATTACTAAATAAGAACAAGAAATTGAAGGAAAGATCTCAACACAAAATAAAGCCACATAACTGGGAGAGAAAACAAATTTGGGGTTGGGAAGCAAAAAAGTAAAAGCAAAGAAAATGACTGAACAAGAGTCAGGACACCAGCCCATCACTGACTGCACTCAGGCCCTGCCACCCAGGCCCACTTCCTGCTTCTCAGTCTTTCCCCCGTGGCCTGGAAGGTGAACCCAAAGCCAAGTCAAGATAGCTCCTAACTCAGAGCAGAGCCCAACCCCTGCCCACTCCTCCGCCTGGGTTCAGCTCTGGCCTCTCCTACCCAGACTCCTACATTCACCCCCATGTGTTTCCCCACAATAGTCTTATCTCGAGTCCTTTTTGCCCTCAGCATCCAAAGTTGAGGCTGCCTCACTTATCCTCAGAACCCTGCCTGGTTCCCAGGACTCCCTCCCAGTGAGGAGCCCTTGCTACATAACGTTCCCCAAGGCATCCTTCAAGGGACCTCTTCCTGTCTGTCTGTCTCTACTCTTAAGTATCTCCAGTCAAACTGCTTACAGTTTCTTGATGCCAAGACACCACTGTGCTCTTGCCTGCACTGTGCCCTGGGCCCAGAATGCCCTTTTTTCCTTGTCTTCCGGGTGACAGCCACCAGCCCTACTGGGTTCCCAAGACTGCTCTAGCTCCTCTCCTTTCCCAGCCTCTCCTGCTCCATTGAAGGGAGTTTATACTGCTCCTGCTTGGTGCTCAGGCTTTCTAGTGCCTGTAGTCATCATACCACCTGGGCTGGTCTGTGGAGGTCAGTTGTCCAGTGATTAGAGCATAAGCTTCAGAATTAGGTAGATATGGGTTCATATCCTATGTCACGTAGTAGCTACAGAAGCCACTTAGCACCTAGAAAATTATTTTCCTTTCTGTAAAGTGAGAATGGTCTTATCAACCCATGAAGCTGGTAGATCAAGTGGAAAATCTTTAGTTTTAGATAATATATATCTACATATTAAGATATGTACCTATTAATTTCCATAATCTCTATATAATCCCATGGTAAGCTTTCAAGAACTATGATTGCATAGTATTGCTTTTTCCTCTGTGGCTGATGTGTAAGTTCCATGAGGGTAGGGTTATATCTCACTCATCTTTGTATCATCAGTGCCCAGCGCTGGACCTAATTGGTCTAAGGGAACTAAATGAACACATGGTATTGAATGAATGAGTGAGGAATGAATGGACCAAATGAAAAGCAAGAAGACTTAAGACTGCTGCTGCTACTAACACCCCTGACCCACCGTGACTGTGATTCCCATGATGTCTTAGTTGATTCCCAGTGGGTGCATCATATTAGAGAGGGGGAAAGTGGAATAAGGAGGAGGAGACAGTGTCAGTTTCCTGAAGGTGTTTCTAAGTCACAAGCTACAAACTCTGGATCATAGAGCCTTGAACCCAAACCTCAGCTTCTCACTGCCTGGATAGGGGATTTTTCCAGCCAACCCCTCCCCGCCAGGGCTGCTATTGTATTTGAGAGCCAGAATTAACCCTGTATTAATCACTTGCTCATTGCCAGGACAAAATATCAGACACCTGCAAATTGAAGGGGAGACTTACCTGGCTCAGTTTTACAGAATTTAGTCCATGGTTAGATTGCTCCAAGGCAGACATGACATGTAGAAAGGCATGTCAGATGTTTACCCCAAGGCGGCCAGGATGTAAACAGAAAGAATCAGGGACAAGGGAAAACCCTTCCAGGTCACACCTCCAGGGACCTGCTCTTCAGGACAGGCCCCACCTGTGTATAGCACATTCAGCTGTGAATAAATTCACTGCTGAGCTCCCCAGTGATCCAATCTGAGCACATGAGACTTTTGGTGGACATTTCAAACCAAACCGTAACAGCCTTTCAATTAGCAGCAAGCTGGCCAGGCAAATGAAACATAGCTATGGGAAGAAAAGTTTCTGAATGTTAAACTCTCACTTCTAGAAACAAAATATGATGCTATATCTACCTTGTTTCTGCTTTAGCCCTGATTTTCTACCCTTGAAAATCCTATTATTATCATTAATTTCCATGAGTTGTTTTTAAACCTGGCAACTTCTCTGGATTTCTTAGATGTTCAGACTCTTTTTATCCACTAAATGTTTCTAAACACAGAGGTTTTTAAACACAGATGTTTGGTGGCGTTCTCCACCTCCACTGTCACCACATCTACCCATCCCCAGCTTGTCTCCTGGAAACAAAGGCATCACTGAGCCTGATGTCCATGGAACTGTCCATAGCTCATCCTGACCCCTTGTGAGCCTCCAGGACTTCAAGCAATAGTCACTCTTCTGTACCTGGCAGGTCTCATATACCCCCACTAGAGAAAAAAAAATCCCAGAGTTTCACAACTCCACAGCAAAACTCAACCTAACATAGTTAAGTGAAAAGGGAATTTTTAGGAAATTGGGGGCAGTATCCCTACATCCCTCATTTCAAACCAGACTGTGCTTGATAGAACTAACACAAGGCAATTTTGCAACCTTGCAGAGAGATATGTTTGCTCAGAGTTTCTTGGGTTCCCTCAGGTTCCTGGCGCCCTTGAAGAGTGAGCAGGGAAACTTTCCAGGCACAGAGTAAGGAGGAACCCCATGGTTTTCTTCCAGCTCTAGCACAGCAGGAAAGGAAAGGTAGCTTCTGCCTCCCACAGCTAGCAGGCCTTGGGGAAAAAGAAAACCAAATAACTTTTATAACAATGACCTTGAGGCAGAAACCCTGCAGCCAGAGCACATATATGTCATCCCAGAATTGACAGGCAGGGTGCCTGCCTCGTTGAGGGGAGATAATTTATCATGTGTGAGGAGGAACAGAGTCCTCGAGGCCAAAAACAAGTCCCTTACCCTCAGTGTTACCTGGTCACATCACCCAGCCCTGTGCCTTCCAAAATGTTGTTACTTTTGGCGATGAATGGTGATGGGTTTTCAACGGTGTAATTAGACCAAATCAAATTCTAGTCTTCTAATGGCTATTAAATGCATCACAAATCCCTTATTGATTCTATTTGGAGAAAGAAATGAGACCTGGCTCAGACTCCCTGCTGGGCAGACTGGCCAACCACTGAATCCGGCTCACACAGTAGGTATATGTGCCTTGCATAGCATTTGTGTGCAGGGGTCTGACCAATGTCAAGGACACCAAGGTGAAGTTATCCTTGGACATGACTGTACTCTGGACTCCACTGAGGTCTTCTCTTTGACTTTGTAGGATCCGAACCTCCAAAGGATAAGACCATCATCCTGGAGCAGCTGCGAAAGATCTCCCTACCTCTCTACAGCATTCTCTCTGCCCTCACCATCCTTGGCATGATCATGGCCAGTGCTTTTCTCTTCTTCAACATCAAGAATCGGAACCAGAAGTAAGCTGCTCATATCCTGCTCTGGAACAACACATACTGGATAGATAAACTTTGTGGTCCAACTATAGGATCATTACATGACATATTGTCTCGAGAGACATGGAAGATTTTAGGGCAGAGTTTCCTGAAGTGTGTTACCTGATTACTGTAACGATTTAAGTGTTCTACATCTATCTCTCTATCTCTCTATCTCTCTCTCTGTCTCTCTCTGTGTCTCTCTCTCTCTCTCTCTCTCTCTCTCTCTCTCTCTCTCTCTCGGTCTCTCTCACGCACACACACACATGCACGCACACATATACATGCACACACACGCATTCACACACAAAGAGGTGCTGGCTGCACAGGGGAAGACTAGGTTAAATAAACGGGAGGGTTCAAGCCCACCAGCCTTCCCAGAGCCCGGGTGTGCCCAGCACGTTGCAGTGTCCAGAAGCAGAGATTTAGAAGACAAAATTCCCCAGTTTCTCTGCCCCTTGCATTTTGGGAACCCTCACTGGAGAGAACCACTAAGTCCAATGATGGGGACCCCCATTTGTGCAACGCATGACAGTCCAGGAAACCCCTCCCTGTATCATCTTGTTTGACCCTCCTGGTTCTCCCCGTGTTACAGATGAGAGCCCCGGAGCTCCGTGGCAGAGGACTACTGTCCACATGCAGCAGGACCTGTCCCCTTGCTTTCTTGCCTTGACTTCTTTTCCTCAACATCTATCTTTATCTCTCCCAAGAGAGAGCCTCACTCAGTTCTGTTCAGCATGTGTAGAACAGGCCATCACCTGTGTCGACCAGGGACCACCACCTTCTCTGGTTTCCATGACAAATCCCTAAACCCAGTTTCCTTCTTGTCACAGGAGAGGCCAAGTAGGGGCTCAGAGCATGCACCACCAGGGGGCAGCCTTGATGCCCACCCACACACATGCCGTGGATCTGCCACTGTACCCAGAAACCACACTTCATCACCTCCTGGCTGTCCGGAATGAGCCCAATTCCAGGGGAAATACTTTTCTTCTGTTTTCCTCGCAGTTGACAGATGAGGAGGGTGGGGGCTTTAGGCTTTTATGGTTTTTTGTTTTGCAGGGGTTTTTCTTTGAAGCAATTCACTTATCAAACCTACTTCCTGAAGAACGAAATAGGGTTTCGTCCACCTGTTGTTTACCTATCACAGTGACACATATATTGCTGCACAAGCCTTGTAGCAATTTTTGCTTTCTTGGCGCAAACCTTAAATGATGACCATGCCTTTGCACGGGCGTTGACACGCGGTCATCTGTCAGTTGGCGTCAGACTGCCTCCCTGCATGCCTTACGAGTTTGGTTTGGTTTGGTTTTGTACCTTAAGGGTTTTAAGAGTTCCCATCAGCAATCTGTCCCAGCCACCATATTAAACTCTTTTAATTCTGTAATTACCCCCTCTTGGCTTCCTGGGAGAAAATTACCATTATTCTTTCCAAAAGACAAAAGTTGATGAAACTTTTCACTGTCCAGACCAGTGGAAAATCTGCAGAGACAGGAAATAAATGTTCCTGTGGTTTCCTGTGCCCCTTACTTCTGCCTTCCTAAGCGCTGCCTGTTCTTAAAAGGCCACCTCCTCCAGCCAAGCAGCCCCACCTCCTGGCTAGCCCCCCTGCCCAGTGTGCTGTGGTGATGAGAGTGAAGCCACTTTCCTGGTTTAGGAAAGGACCTGAGGGCCCAGTAGCAATTCAGCCCCATGGAGCCCTAGGCAGCATGATCAACTAGTGTCTCAGGTGAGGAAACGTGACCATGTTAAATGACTTGCCAAGGCTGTGCCTCTAAAGGGTGGCAGGGGCTGAGAGCTGGTCCCCATGCTTCCAACTCAAAAGCCTGTGTATCTCCCACACACAAAAACTTAGCATTCAGCAGGCTTAGTATTCCCTACAACTCTGACATGTAACGTGTCTAAAATGCAAAGGATTAATAGAATTGCAGAATGCAAAGAAAAATGTTCAGGGAACAATTGACTATAATTTCACTCTGCAAACAAGCACCTGGACCATGGGGTGTCTGAAAACCTAGGATTATCTGAGCTGATTGTGCTGGAAGAGCCAAGTACCTCTGGGGGTCAACTCTAGCCCACTGAGGGCTTAGCTAAATTCTGGTTTGCCGGGTACCTGGGAGGCACAGCAGGATTCCTAAAGGAAGTGAGCGGGAAGCATGTAGAAACTGAGGATGTACAGAATGTCCCAAATGCAGCCTGGTGAAGATAGTATAGGGGTCGGGATGGAGGTCCCTGGCCCACCTAAGGGAGAGATGAAAGCCAGGAGAGGACGGCCGCTGTGTGACCATCTTTGTGTATGAATCAGTGTGAGCTTTGAAGCCCTCAGAGGCAGGCAGGAAAGGTACTTATTCAACACCTACTGGACACATTTCATGTGCAGTCTTACATACTCACCCACAGACCACCGGGAACTTGTCTGCTTGAGGCAGGGGGATGTGGTCTCTCAGTCTCCCCCTAACTGTAGAAGACCCCTCAACTTCAAAGCCCATTAACTTTGTGCTTTTGCATTTTGAAAAATTGGAAAATTAGAATGGTTGAAGAAGTCAATGCACCAAGCCATCCCTAGAGAAACAATAGATAAACTTGACAAAGGGGGCAGGAAAATCAACAATTGGAAATTATGCAGTTGTCTAGGGTCCCTTGGAGGAGGTAAATGAGCCCGTGTAGGTGAGGGTGGAGAGGAACAAACCATGGCTTTCATTTTTCTCCCCCTCTTAGCCTTGACAGCAATGCACACGCCTAGAAGGCACTGGGAAACCTGTGGTGAAGGAGGAAGTAAACCAACAGCCCTGTAAATGTGTCATCTCGTTCTCTTGCCAGGCTGATAAAGATGTCAAGTCCCTATATGAACAACCTTATCATCCTTGGAGGAATGCTGTCCTATGCATCTATATTTCTCTTTGGCCTCGATGGATCCTTTGTCTCAGAAAAGACATTTGAAACACTTTGCACCGTAAGTGTCTTTGATGTGTCAGTGGCACATGACAAAGATTTCTTGGTTATCTCAATATTCAAACACAGATATAGACCTGGAGATGTGTGGGAATATGTGGATAGGCAGAAAAAAACCCTGCTCTGCAGTTCTGGCCTTACCAGGGAAGTACTGTGTCACTTTCAGATCACAACAAGCATAATCCTTGCCTGTAACACTAACCTGATAGATTCAGCAGGCCACGGTGGCAGTGCAGCCCTCTGGGAAGAGTCCAGGCAGCCCAGAAAGGAGAAGGAAGGGAATTTTCCACTAGAAATACCTCAGTCTCCAAAGTGAGGGTCAAGATCCAGGTCACATAAGAGGACACTAATCCTCCCATCTACCTTGAGAGCTCTCATAAGATGTGATAGAAGATGTTTACATGGCTACCCTTAAATCATATAAAATAGTTGTCATCTTATTTTCTATTTCAGTAGTGTTTCTGAACCATAGTTTTTCATTATTGCCTCCCTCAGGAGCCTTTTTGACATAATCATCCCACCCATGGAATTTTAATGCTAGCAATGTATTGTGCATCTGTCTATGTACTATACGTATATCTATGTTTCACACATAAAACAGTGATTTTTTTTAACATTGAGAAACCAATGTTGAAACAGATGGAGGGTGCAAGCCTGTATGTGCAGCTACTTGGTGTGGGGGCTGAGGATATTGTTTGAGTCCAACCTGTGCCACTTAGCAGGACCCTGTTTCAAAAGAAAGAAAGAAAAGCCAGCACAGACCATGGAAAGCAGCCAGTCACACCTCCATGTGCCTTTTAGCTGCCATCAGCGGAGTCTTGATGTAGCTGCAGAATCCAGAGAAACCTGCCCCACACCCCATTGCCTCCCTGAGACCTAGATTCAGAGAAACCTCGGTGCCTCACCCATTCCCCCATACAGTGAATGTACAGCCAATATGGGATGAATCTGGGACCCAGGAAAACGGTAAGACAAATGAGCAAAATGCAATCACAGACCTCCCGCTCACACATAACAAGGCCAAGGGACATAGACATAGAAGAAATTGAAAGTCACATGCCTGAAATGATAGCAACTGAAGGAAAGAAACAACTTCATGGGACTGTAAAAAAAATCAGATTAGAAATAATACCTCAGGTAAAAGAAGAAATTATAATCATAATGAAAGTATTACTGAGCATATCTAAAGAAGGTGGGTTAAAAAAGGAGCATAGAAAAACGATGAAAACCTTGAGTGAACAATATAGGAAAGAATTAGAATGCATGAAACAGATTCAAAAAGATATTCGGGAAATTTAAAACTCCACTGAAAGCCGGCAAAGCCTCTTGAACAAGGCTGAGGATGGATTTCAGACCTTTCAGACATGATTGCAGCTAGCAATCATGAGAGGAAACATCTCTTTAAAATAATGAGGAACCAGCAAATAACAGTTCAACAGCTGCAAGATGACGCAAAGAAAAATAATAATTTAAGACTATTAGGTATCAACAAAAAAGGAGTCAACACCAATATTATAAAAAGACTATTTACAGAAGTGATAGTGGAAAACTTTCCAAGCATGGGAAAAGGACCTGACGTACAGACAAGTTAAGCATATAGAACCCCAACTAGCCATAACAAAATAAACCCAGATATAAAATAAATAGTATCCCAGAAATTCAGCACAAGAGCAGAATATTAAAAGTTGTTAGAGAAAAAGAAACAGATCACTTATAAAGGAAACCCACCAGAATCACGAAAGACTTCTCAACATAAACCATCAAGTCAAGAAGAGCTTGGAGGGAAGTATTTCAAATCATGAAAGAAAACAACTGCCAACCCAGACTGATGCACCCTGCAAAACTATCTTTCCAAATTAATGGAGAAACAAAATACTTCCATGACAAAGAACAACTGAAGAAGTTCATGACCACCAAACCAACCCTATGAAGAGTACTGAAAGATATTCTAAAAAGAGATAAAAATAACCACAATTCCAAGAACAAGAACAGAAAGAAATCACCATAGTGGGCAAGCAATTAAACAGAAGGGAAAAATAGGGAACCAACAGCAGGAAAGTAACATAACAAGACAAGCCAGTGCGCATCAGTCATAAATTCACCAACAAAAAGAAACACAGGCTGAATGGATTAAGAAACAAAATCCAAAACTAAAAATTTAAATTTAAATTTAAAAAAGAAACAAAATCCATCAATATGCTGTATTCAAAAATACATTTAATTCAAAAGGAAATACATAGACTAAAAGTCAAAGGAGAAAAAACAGTACTCCATGTGACAGGAACCTGAAAAAGCAGGAATAGCTTGCACACGAACTGCAGATATGGTATTTTTATACAGGGGAAAGCTACTCTACTATAAAGAAGGGCAATCTCAATGCTTTTGTAGGTAAATAGATGCAACCTGAGATCATGTTCAAGGATGAAATAGCTTGGATTCACATAAGTGAACATCGTGTTGTCTCTCTAGTACAAAAAACTGAAGGAGTTAGTGGGACCCAAAATGTACAGCAGATACCATGGAAGTGAAAGGGGAGGACACAGCCAAACAGGGAAGGAGCAACTGGGATGGGGGAAGGAGAAAAGAAAGAAAGGAAAAGGTAATTATGCTGCTAATCTCGGTTAGCCCAACAAAAAGAAGTGTTTGTGCTTTCATTATTTGATCATTTTTTCATGAATATATCTGCTAATCTGGACAACTACTTTTTTTTTTGATACTGGGATCGAACTGGTGACCTCACGCTTGCCAGGCAGGTGCTTATGCCGCTGAGCTAAATCCCTGGCTGAACAACTACTTTTAAGATAACAATATGCAGCATATTAACCATTGTTAGTCCCCTACTATTCTGTTTTGAAACTCTGTATCATTGTTTTTATTTATTTTCTTCTGCTTTTCATTTTAAAATAAAAAAGAAAAAGGAAGGAAGGCAGAAAGAAAGAAAAGAAAAGAAAAGAAAAGAAAAGAAAAGAAAACTTTTAAGTGCTGGTTCCTAAAAAGACTGTCTCATACCCATAAGGACACATGTATTTAAGGAAGCCCAACACAGTGTAATGAACTTGCTACATTTTTTGAAAAATTATTTTGAAAAATCAACTAACTTTTTAAACTTCTGGATGCCAAGAAAATGCTCTAAAAAGAGAGAGAAACGGAGAAAAAGAAAGAAAGGAAGGTAGAAAGAAAGAAAGAAAGAAAGAAAGAAAGAAAGAAAGAAAGAGAGAGAAAGAAAGAAAGAAAGAAAGAAAGAAAGAGAGAGAAAGAAAGAAAGAAAGAAAGAAAGAAAGAAAGAAAGAAAGAAAGGAAGGAAGGAAGGAAGGAAGGAAGGAAGGAAGGAAGGGTGGGAGGGAGGGAAAAGGGAAAGAGGGAGAAGCTGGACGTTAACACTAGTAACTGAGAAGAACTTCCAGGGGAAGGTCTCACTGACCCACTAGTTGAGCTTTGTCTCTGAACTTCAGTAACTATGACCTCTCAAAACTGGGTGATCCCGTTGGGCCTCCTCTGCTCTACCTGGAAAATGAGAGCTAAGGGGATTGTTATAGCATCAGCACGCCTGGGTTAATCCGAAAACAACTCTTTGCTGTTGCTATTTGTTGTAAAATGTTGAAAACAGCACAGACCCTCTTTTGCACAACCGTCTCTTTTAGATCCCGTTTACTTCTCTGAGGTTTCAACTTGCTCCCTGCTGGGCGATGGTAGGTGAGAGCTGGCAGACAGGGACACACAAGTGAAAGAGCTCCGGAGCATGCCACAGGACATCCCCAAGCAACGCCTTGGACTCTCTGGCCTCAGACTAGTCCCTCAGCAGCACATGAAGAGGGAGAAGGCCCCCAAGATCCTATATTTTAGGCGACAATGCCACTGTCCACTCTGATTTCTACAGCCGATTAGACTAGACTGACTGCCACAGGGCATCAAGGATTTGTTAGCATTACCAGAGACATCACCATTTGCAAGGGCAATGTCTACAGATATGCTTGCATTATTCCAAAGGTTCAACTGAGAAACGCATGGTCAAGTCCCCAGTCACCGAGAGGGACAGTGAGGTCAGCATCCTCTCCTGGAGATGACCTGAAGGGCAGTCAAGCCGTAGAACTCCCAGGCTCATTCTGCCACTCAAGGTTTTCTCTTCCAAGCTCATCACTGCCCCTCCTGCTCTAATCTGCCCTGCTGGGAATAAAAAAGGTGAAGACAAGAGCAGCAGCTCCCTCATGCGCCTCACCTCGCTTCAGGTTGCCCGAAGTCAGCTTCCAAAGATGCTGAGCTGCCCAAAAGCATTTGTTCCCTGCCCGAGAGAAGGTTTTGTTCCCTAAGGAGGGTGGCCCTCTGGCACTAGAGTCCTGACTGCCGTGTGTAGAAGCATTGCTAGTGTAGGAGACTAGGAGACGTGACAAGCCCATGAATCCCCAGGATTCCTGCACCACCATGATTTCTGTACCCTGCGAAGCCTGGACCTGTGATGGGCATTGCATACATCTGTGTTCAGCTTCATGAGCCCAGGTGGGGCCTACGTAAGGCGCTGCCTGACACAGCCACTAGAGGAGATTGAGGATTCTCTCTTCTATCTGAGCTCCCGAGTATTTATGAGGCCTTTCCCAAGTTCAAGAACATCTTGACGACAATAATGAAAACAACAGGCTGGGGATTTAGCTCAGTGGTACAAGCACCTGACTGGCAAGCGTGAGGTCATGCGTTCGATCCCTGGTACCAAAAAAGACAGAAAAAAAATAGGACCAGGGTTAGTCTGGTGATTTCTAACTTACACAATTCTCCGGTCCCTCCCTGGCATTCCTGAGAGGCGAGGGACCTGCCTCTGGTCCACATGCAGAACCCTACCCTGGCTCCACAGGGCCCCCACCCATCCTGGGGGCCACCAGCCACCAGGGAATGCCTCCAACAAGCTAACCTGGAATGTTGGGTGCAGAGAGACCCAAGACGGACCCAAGAGCTGTCTACTCAGGGAGTCTCCCTCCACCCCACCCCAGAGAGAAGCCCGCTGGTGTGTTA